CGTTCTCAAATTCCCTTCCTTTCATGAGCATCATGGAATTCTGTGGTTGACCTGATTTGTGAGGCTGGTTGCAATATTTGGGATTGTTCACCCTTTGGGGGTAGAGCTGTGAGTGTGTCATCAGTGGTGAACATTTTGCCACGTACCACTCATGTTTGTGGCCTGTGCTGACAGGCACAGCTCCTGTCCCCTGACATCAGAGCCTTATGCCAGCATCAGATTTATAAATCCTATGGATTATTGTGGTCTCTTTACTGCTGCTGAAAATGCTTTGGTCTCTCCTTTGGTGTGAGATGCTACTCACGTCCCTGCGGATTGCTGAGGGCTTTGTGGTGGTGTTTTTGCCTGATGGTCACGCTCAAAGCTGCTGAGATTCCTTGCTCTGGTTGGTGCTGGGGGAACAGACAAACAGCTGGGTGAGGATGGTCTCCTTTGTACCAGACGTTGGAGGGCTTGGGGGAGGCTCATGACTAACTTGCGGCGTCGTTTCTAGCTGACCTAAAGATCTGTTCCCTGGAACAGTAAGTGCAGTCTGAGTGTTCCAGGCTGCCCCATCCCTCCCTGGTCCTGGAGTTTCTGTGGCTGATAAGGTTTAGGAGCTGCTCTCTCTCCAGCCTCTCTGCAGGGATCATGTGCTTTGCCTTGAGCGTGAGTTGGGACTTGGGACTTTGTTCTGAAGGGAACTTCATGCATCCCAAAACGTGTACAAAGAACTGTAAATGGTGTTTTTAGAATGACCCCCCTTGGCTGCCACTTCTCAATTTCCACATTTGTATGCAAACAAAGCTGTTGTTTATGACAGTTATATCTGTTTTTACTCTTGTACAGGACCCTGAGCACTGCAGAAATAAACTTCTTATGGAAAGAGAGTTTTACACACTTGGTTTGTCAGTCCTGTCCATCCTTTGGGTGTCTGGGGGTGCTGTGGGAAACAGATTCCTGAAAATAGAGAGGAGGGACAGAGCCTGGGGAAGGCTCTTGTGTCCTTAGAGCATCTGAATCCTGCACTTTACTTCAGCAACTTGAGCATTGGACCCTTTATTAAGACAACTCAGAGGAGTTGTTTCCACCATCTGATTAACCACAATGGTTTTGAAACTGTTTTCAAGGGTTTGTTTTTTTTTACTGGTTAAGGCATTTTTAGCAGCTGTGGTTTGACACAAATCCCTCTAAGTACCTGGTGCTATCTGAACTTTTAGAAAATATTTCCCAGCTCATTGTCCAGGCCAAGTTGCTCTTGCTGAAGGGGAAATAGATATTTTGTTAAATTACAGGCAAATCTTGATGCAGAACTTAATTAATTGATCCTTTTCAAGAGGTAAAGAAGAGACAGTTCTCTACTGGGTCAGTTACCAGAAATTGTCCTCTGCTCCTCTGGTTTTGTGCTCTCATGGTTTGTGCTCTCATGGTTTGTACTCTCAGGTGAAGCAGCAGTTGTTGAAGGTTCCAGAACTGCTTCTGCCTACGTGTGTCACTGGATTCAGATTCGAATGTGAAATGTGCTGTTAGAAAGAGGAAGTGATGATCACTTGACGTGTCACAGCCAATTCCAGGACTGCTATAAACTGGAAACTTCACTTTGCAAAGCACTCACAGAGACTTGGGGACATGGCAAGGTTTGAGTGCTGCTCTGGGACGTCAGAAACCACATCAACACCGTGTTAGGCACTGAGGGAGCAAATCTCATGCAGCCTCAGAGCTAATATTAGCTTTTTAAGGACTTTTTGTCATGTAAAAAGTACTTTGGAGGTTCAAAGCAAGTCAAGAAGCTTCTTCAAGCAGCTGTTTTCCCAGTCTTAGCACTGGGCAGCTCTCCTGGAACCTGCCAGGGACAAGTGATGATCTGTAAAGGCTGAGGAGACCTAAAACACTTCAGAGGCTTCTGACAAAGGAGCTAAGAGCAATTCTGTGTCAGAAATGCAGAGCAAACATTACCTGAGGAACTCTGGGGCTCGTGCAATCATGTGCTGGAAGTCTTGCAGGGACAGTTTGCCATCATTGTCCACATCAGCCTCATAGATCACCTTGTCACACACCAGGTTGACTTCCTCTGGGGTCAGCTCATTTCGGGTTAACTTCCTGACAGTTTTCTCTAGGTCTGATTTGCATATGTAATCATCATTGTTAAAATCTGCCAAAGGAGATGAAATGAAAGTGACAACGTTCAGCATTTTGCATCACTGACTCACCAATCCCTAGTGGAAGGGTTTGGTTCCCAGACTCTGAGGGATTTATGGCAGAACCTTCTAACCAGAAGTTGTTATCTCTATTTGCTGGGATGAAAATGCCATTGCAAATTAAATCCTGGGATCATTTCTCCTTATCAGACATTGTAAACAGTTTAATGGCTAAGCACAGCATAGCCAGAATTAAATCATTCCAGCACCAAACAGATTTAACAGCATGAAGTTAGAGAATGAGCTGAGGTTCTGCTCAGGATTCACTTTTGCAGCATCTTTGCTGAATCATGTACAGATTAACCTTTTGAGTTGGATAGATTGTTTGGCTTCAGCTGACCATAAAGAAAGTCACTGAAAATGGAACCTTAACACAAAAAAAAAATCTTTAAATTTGTCCTTGGAGGCAAATGCCTGCCGTGAGCTTCCCTGCCTCTCCCTCCCAAATCCACCTCATGGATTTATGGGCAGCCAAATCCCTCGTGCTGCACTTTTCCAACAGCCACTCAGCCAGAAATACTTCTTAAGTGTTGATCAGCTCTTGAAAACTGCAGATAATTGTAGGTTGTAAATGTTGTAGGAAATCCTAATCCCTCATAAATAAGAGACAAAAGGAGAAAGAAAACCAGAAGCTTTTAGAAGAGAGAGCACAGACCTTCAAATGCAATGAACTAGAGATCATTATGGTGACAAGAGGAAGATTTTTGAGTCCCTAC